GCCCAAATCTGAGAACACCGCCACCACCAGGAACAGCTGGATTTCCTCTTCCTTTACACCCCCACGTGTGGTTCTTCTGTGCCATCATCTGAGGTGAGCATCTATGGACAAGGTTATACGAGAAGTAGCAACTGAATCCACCACTAACCTCCTGTATGGTCACTGGGTGGTACAATGACCAACTGGACAAACCTCTGGCCCAGGGCAGGAAGACTGTCTTGTTCTGTCCCTCAGTACTTATCCCATCTGTCAAAGCTGAGAACAAACTCAGGTTCATGGTACTGGTCCCCATACTGACCAAGTGCATGCTTCAGTGAGAAACAGGCATTCTCCTTTGGCTCTCTAACAATAGCTGCCCACATAAGTGCCTGTTTCTGAAACCACCCATCCAGGCAGCTGGGCCGCATCCAAAGAGCATATTTGGAAAGTCCTAGTACACCTTGTGAAGGCCTCACCAAGCACACAGACCAGCCTTCCTCAGAAGAAGGGTCATTCCAGAACCATTTAGAGGCCCACACTCCAAAGGACATAGGATAAGGCTCAAAGGGAGGTGGCTCAAGGAAGGGCAAGGAAGACACACACACCTCACAGCTCCCCAAGTCAAGAGGCAGAGGGCATTCTCAAAGCAGTGGGCAGTTTCCATCCTGCTTGTAAAGAAGGGCCAGTGAGCTATCTACTAAAATTCCACCCCCAACAAATGATGGATAAACAGCATTTGGTCTCCCCTGAAGGGGAGCACGGAGCACTGAAGGATGCTGCGAGTACTTTGAGAGTCTGGTGATTGATGAATAGTGAAACCCTTATTGTGGACATTTCTGGAACCTTCTTTGGCAATCTTGATCTCTAGTATGAATTCCTCCTTTTACAAAGCAGGTTCCAAGAGACCCAGCCAAGAGCAAGGATCAGGCCCAAGACTTGCAGGCTTCTCTTGGCTCCTGATATTTTATGGCCCTATTTCAATAATTTGAGGTCTTTTAAACACATCTCAGTTACGACCTTGTTTAGTTATTTGAACCCTTCAAAGTTCCCTGGCCACCTTCCCAGCGCTCTGAAGCAGAACACCAATAGATTTCGTTAGAAAGAAGAGTGGAAGCAGGTAGCCAGAGGTGGCGCTGACCTAGGGCTCTGCCTCTTGTCGCTTCTGTCTTTCCCGTCCCCATGTCACTGCCCCTGAATTCATTTCTTTCTTACCAGACATGCAAAGCCAAACAGTCACTCCACTGTCATGAAAGGCAGGTGTCTAACTAGAAAACCAAGTCATCGTTCAACATCATCTGCCATTGTCAAGACTTCCCAAGACTTGAAGTCATCCTGCAGAGCTCAGAATGAAAGCAAAGAACCAACCAGGAATGGAGGATCCAGGTTTGGATGTCTCCTCTTCAAAAAAGACAGCCAGTGGGATATACTGAGATACAGAGATGACCACAGGTTGCTCAACTACTTATGTGCCCCAGGAGAGAATGCTAATGGGGATGAAAGATAAGAAAGACTCCAGACTGGTCTTCACAGTGATGGACCACTATCATCTTCTGTGTCCCTAAAGTCCTTGGGGTGGAGCTTTAATCTTCAGTGCCTCAGAATGTGGCTGTTTAGAGCAGGGCCTTTGAAGAGGTCCCTGAGGTAAAAAGAGGGCATTAGGGTAGGCTCTAATCCATTAGAACTGTGTGCTTCTAAGAAATCAGGGTACAGACGGCACAAGCTGAAGGACCGTCCTGTGAGGTCATGGGGGAGAGGGCAGCCAATGAGAGATGCCTCAGAAGAGACCACCTGAGACCTTCAGTCCTCAGAGCTGGGAGCCCAGCTAGCACATGCAGACTTTTAGGCTCCTGGCCTGGTTGCTTGCTTTAGTGGCCCAAGCTGACCAGTAGGCCTAAATCCCACCCATTGCTCGCCTTTCTCTTCTTTCCCATTCTGTGTCCCTTGGATCCTGTACTGACTTCCCTTTATCCTGTTCCTTCTCTCATTCTTCTACTCTTTGGAACCCTTCCCCCACCTCCTCCCTTCTGTCCCTTTCTTTCTTCCTTCTGAAGAGCTCCTCTCTCTACCTTCCCAGACAGACGGAGCCTTGGGAAGGCGAGGACACTTGTACCTACACCCCCAGCTGCAGTGAGAGGCAGGCCTGGTCCCTGAAGCTCACAAAGAACATCTGGTTTGTAGGGGTTGGCACAGCCTGTCATTTGTGTGCCTCTCTGGGCCCCTTCAGCTGCTTACTCAGCATTTCTGAGCTTGTTTTTCAAACACATTTTTAGATGGTAATAAAAATTCTTGTGCCATTTCCCGGAGATGCAATTAAGTGTTTGCCTACCTGACACAGCCCTGGGTACACTAGTGATCTCAGCACTCAGGAGGTGGAGGCAAGAGGATCACAAGTTCAAGGTTATCCTCTACTATAGAGCAAATTTGAGACGGGTCCAGGCTACGTAAGATCCTGTCTCAAAATACAAGCAAAACCGGGATAATGTTTTATAAGCATCTTATGCACATTTTATAAGCATCTTAACCAACTTTTTTAAATTTAGCATTTTATGATAGGGAATAATGAAAATGATAACTAACCAATAAATAAGCAGAAACGTTGACTTTGAACAGCATACATAAAAGGGTTGACCGTTTATTTTCCTTTTCCTGTCCCCTCCCTATTTTTTTTTTTTTTTTTCGAGACAGGATTTCTCTGTAGCTTTTGGTTCCTGTGCTGGAACTAGCTCTTCTAGACCAGGCTGGCCTCGAACTCACAGAGATCCGCCTGCCTCTGCCTCCTGAGAGCTGGGATTAAAGGCGTGCGCCACCACTGCCCGGCCTCCCTCCCTAATTTTTTTTCCTAACTGAGCTTTTGGCTTCACTCTCACCACATCTCACAAATCTAACAATGTGCATTTGAGACAGCATCAAGGAACATTTTTAAAAATGACAATGTGAATAACACACTGCTTTAAAAAAAAGTCAGAGAAAGCAGTAGGTCACAGTGGGGCATACGCCCTGACAGCCAATAGAGTGCCCATGTCTTTGGAAGCACAATTAAACTCAAAAAAAAAAATTAAAAACAACAAAAGATGTCTTTAATTATGAGGATAAGAATGTAAAATTAGGCTCTGCAGCCAATTAGGCTCTGGAGAAGTTAGTATGTAGTGTGGGTAACCAGTCAGTACGATAATGAGCCAAATGCTCTGGCATTTTACTCCTAAGAACATTCTCTGTGAAATGAAGTGAATTCTCTCCCGTGCTCTACATCCAACACATTAAAGTGCGACACAAGAATTCTGATTTTTTTTTTCAATGCAGCAGGCTACCTGATGCCTGAGCTTTTTCTTCTGCAAAGCCTGTGAACTTCTGGGGAACAAAATTACTGTCCTGAATAGATAGAAACAGCGCTCTTTATTAGTTTAAATACTTGAGGAATGGACAGCCTTGAAAATAAGAAAACAAACATCTGTTTTATTTATTATTTTATTATTTTAATTGCATATATATACATGCAATTAAAAATAATAAATATATACATTCTGATTAATTTTTTGGTCACCTTGTCACAGGCTGGTCATCAGGGAAGAGAAAACCTCAAGCGAGATAAAGGCCGAAATAAGGTTGGCTTACGCAAGTTTGGGGGGGCATTTTCTTGACTAATGACTGATGTGGGAGGTCTGGCCCTCTTTAGGCAGTAACATTCTTGGGAGGGCGCTTGTATGAAAGAGCAAGCTGAGAGAGCCTTGTCTGCAGCTCCCCCATGGCCTCTGTTTCAGTTCCTGCCTTGCGCTCCTGCTGTGACCATCCTCCACGGTGACTGTAAGCTGTAAGGGAAACTGAACTCTTCCTCCCCAGGTTGCTTCCGCCATACTGTTTCTCACAGCAATAGAAAGCCAACTGGGACAAGTGTCCCTAATCCAAACATCTGAGACCTGAATGGTCCAAAATCCAAAGCTTTCCGATTCAGTGGCACAGTAACCCAAAAGGACAACTACTCGCTGACACTCCCCAACTGAAAACTTTTTCCCACCATCGGATTTGCAGTAAACCTACGAAGCCAGGCCCTGGGCTTCAGAGTGTCTGATATTCAGTGATGTCCTGTGTGGGGGAATGACTCAAATGAGCTCATCCACATGCACATGAGAGCCACCTGTGTCCCCTCACCTCACTGTCTTCTCAGTGTGAACTGTTCCCTGAGAGTCCTAAAACTGAAAGAACCCCACTTCTCTGACTTCATACAGGAAAAACCAATGACCGCGGGGAAACAATGTCAGCATTTAATTGCAAACAAACTTGGTTGGTATTTTGTTGTTGCTGTTTTTTTTTTTTTTTAATAAAACCATTATACTGTGTGTCTGTGCACAGGAGTGCACGTGCCGGAAGAGCCCAGAGGAGGGCGCTCTGGGGGTGGAGTCACAGGTGGTTGTGATGACTGGGTACTGGCTTAGGTGCAAAGCACCAAACCCCAGCTCTTTGTAAGACGGTTTAACCTCTGAGCCATCTGTCCGGCCCCAGAAACCTTATTTTAAACTTTAGAAAGAACCAACAGACTTTCTCACGTGTTCATCACACTGTAATCTAAGCTAATTTCAAAAGCAGAGTTAAGGTTATGCTTTAGCGGGTGACAGCCTAGAAACCTAATCTAACCATGGGACAAGACGCTATTTGCATACAGTGAGTGAACACAGATACACGTGCCAAAGAAAACCTCACAGGGTGGGCTCATCCTGAGGCCCACAGAGGCCAAAGGGGCCCAGTCCCCAGAGCCCCATGGTTTCCCAGCAACGCAGGCGGGCCGCCGCTAGACGCCACTCCCGCTGCCATGACAACCTCCAAGGCGACAGGCTTTGTGCTTTTCTGTTCGGCCCTGGCGCCTCGCACCTGCTGTGCCCGCCGAAACTTTTCAAACCTCCACAGCAGGGTCTGCAGAGCCGCCAAGTCCCACTACTGTCCTCCTCGCTTCAGGAAATAAAATGTAACACAGGATTTCGGCTGCACGCTGCGGAAGGAGGTGGCAGCCGGCAGGGAACACCGCTTACCTTGCTCAGAATTTCTTCAAGTTAGCAGGGCGTCCTCGGAACCACCGCGCGCAGAGCCGTGAGTCGGAAAAGTCACCAGCAGATGGGCACAAACTTCCCTGGAGCGCGCCGCCCACTGGCCACGCGCCCTTCTCCTCTGCGCCACCAAGGCGGGGACCCTCTTGGTCCCTCAGTCCCGAGCGCTTCATCCGAGAGGCTGCGGCAACGGTGGCTGGAGTTCAGATGGGCTACGAAAGGCGAAGTGGTGCGGCTCCCTGAAGCTCATCCAGGTTTGGGTCCAGTGTCTCGTCTTCTAGGAACCGGCCCAGAGTGAGGCGGCCGCCAGCTGCGGGGACTTAAGTGGAGTTGTCCCAAGGGCTTTTCTTCCGCGTGGCCTCCTTGCCTTGCTGTTGAATATTCATAAGAAGGTGTGGTCGCTGCCCGACTCTTTGGGAGTCCTCCAGGGTCTCACTTGCAGCTGGAACGAACTGGGGAAGATTAGCGTCTGAAGGAACCGCTAAGAGAAGGATGGGGAAGACACTATTGTTGATAGCAAACTCGGGTTCCCAGCTTCTCCTCTCACCAGGGTGCTCACACCCTACCCTCTGCCCTACCAATGCCTGGGACTGAGACAAGGAAATTTCAAGTCTCGATTAAACCCCTTGGTATTAGATGTAAACTGAGGATTACCTACAATCTAATGATGAACTTCTCATGCAGAAAACAAAGAGTTACACAAGCTGAACTCGGTGATAGCATGAACTCAATTGACTCGTCATGATGGATTAGTCTCCGTCTAAAAATAGATGCAGCCATTTCCATTCAAACCTGGATTTCTGATGCACAGTCAAGCTGCTGTTTCTAATGGCCTTTCATCAGGGGTGGTGGTGGTGTGGACGGTGGTGGATCGTTAAGAGAAATGGCGAGTTCTGAGGTCCTTCCCAGGTACCCAGGGCAGTGACTGAAGGCATTTATAGGCTCTGGTACCAAGGTTTTCCAAGTCAGACTGTAGTAGTTACTTTTCTATTGATGTGATAAAAAAAAGAAAAGAAAACACTTTGAACAAGGCAACTTATAAATAAGTGTATTTGGGCTTATGGTTCCAGATGGCAAGAGCAGGAAGCCCAGGGCTCTGAAGCAGAGAGAACAAACTGGGAAAGGCTCCAGTTTTTGACACGTCAGTGATGTAGTTCCTCCAACAAGGCCTTACCTCCTAAACCTCCCAAACAGCACTTCAACTGGGGACCAAGAGTTTAAATGCTCTACACCAGTGATTCTCAACCTTCCTAACACTGTGACCCTTTAATACAGTTCCTCATGCTGTGGTGACCTCCAACCATAAAATCTTTTCATTGCTACTTCATAACTATAATTTTGCTATTGTTATGAATCGTAATGTCAATATCTGATATGCAACCCCCAAAGGGATTGTGACCCACATGTTGAGAATCACTGCCATAGACTATGATGACATCTCTTTTGAACCCCCATATAGACTAAGCGATCTTCCGGGTGTTTTCCCCTCACCGTGAAACACCCACCATAGGAACTGTCACTAGTTTCCATCATGGAATCAATCCAGCTGGGCCACTTCAGATTTGTAGGCTGTGACCGCAGAAAGGCCAGCTGAGGCACCCAGCTGTCACTCGCTCTGCATGCTTTATTGTTGTCTTAGCCACTGTTGAGTCACTTATGGGTCCAAAAGGAGCTCCTGGAGGTAGACCGCCTTTCCTGCGATGCATAGCATGCTACCTGTGGAATCAAGATTTCCAGGACCCCTCCCTGCCCCCAAAGCTTTGGTGTTTCTTTCGGTCTTGGCCTCCTTCAAAGAACCTGCTGGCCTGGACAGCATAGCTGGTAATCTTCATTTTCAACTTCACTGGATCTAGAATCACCTAGGAGACATACCTCTGAGTGTGCCTGTGAGGGTGTTTCTAGGGGGGCTGACTGAATGTGGGTAGTATCATCCCATAGTCTGGGGTCCTGGACTGAATAAAAGCAAGAAGGGAGGCTGAGCCCCCGCATTGATCACTGCCTCCTGTCTTTGCACACAGTGTGACCAGCCGGCTGGCCTCACGCTCTGCTGTCACAGTGAATGCCTTGTCCCCCATGACGGGCTATACCCCCAGGAACTTAGGAAAGAAATCCTTCCCTCTTTAAGTTGCTTTGGCCAAATATTTTGTCAGGACAATGAGAAGGTGACTCGCCCAGGCAGCAAGTGCTTCTGAAGCAAATGCAAAGGGCCCCGCTGCTGTCAGTATGATAAGAAGGGTATCGTGGGAGATCCTTTCCTTGAGCAAAGATAGAAAGAAACGACCCTGGCCCCTGCTCCTGGGTCTATGTATGGCCTCAGCAATGAATGGCAGAATGTTGAGCCTGAGAGCTTCCGGCCTCTCTGCCCACAGTCCCATGATTGTGAGCAAGAGTCACACCTGATGGCTGAGACCTAGCTGCCCTTTGGGCATTTCTTTCTTTCTCCTTGGTAAACTGCTTTTCAGAGGCCCCGTCCTGTCCTTGAACAGGCACCTCCTGGAGGCCACGTGCTCACAGAGCAGCCAAACCCTTGGCCCACTTTCCCAATACAAGAACAAAGACCCTCACGTCCCTATATCAGACACTGTCCTCACACCAAACACTGTTGGCTTCCTGTGCCTAGAAACAGGTCTTTCTGAATGTGGAGCCAATCAGAGAAGCCACCAAAATTTGCCAGGCAAACTCTGAAGGCGGTTCTCAGAGCAGTCCTTAAAAGCCACAATAGTAGCTGGATGCCCATATTCTGGGGAACAGGAAAAATGAAAAAGCCAGGTAACAAAAGGAAGGGCAAAAGCCAGTTTAGAATTGCCTGGAGCAAGGGTTGGGTTTAAATCTTTGCAGACCTAAAAACAGACCTGTTTAAAGCTCTCCTTCAGTTGCCAGAGTGATAGACGCAGCCTTCTCTAAATTGGATGTCACCCTGTGGTTCAAGAGAAGAGAGATTACTTAAAGTGTACGGTCCCCTTTCGATCTCTGTGAGTTCCAGGATAGTCAAAGCTACACAGAGAAACAGAAAAACAAAACAAAGTTTAAATTCCCTTTGTGTGTGTAACACATGTGTGCCACAATGCGAGTGTGGCGGTCAGAGGACAACCTCCAGGAGCTGGTTCTCTTCATCCACCATGTGAATCCCAGGCATCAGTCTTGGAGGCAAGCATCCTTACCCATAGAGCCATCTTGCCAAGCCAAAGTGTATGATTTTTGTACCACACATACTAGAATTCACCTTTACTTTTAATTTTTGGAAATGCTAGTTGCCATTTAAGCAAATATGTTTATTTGTTTAAGATCACAACTTGACCCAGAAAGACTGTCAAGTGGCAAATACAGACAGGAAAATCCAATAGCCAAAGAGACAAAAGCAGGCAGGTGAGGGAACTAAGCCGCCGGGGGAATGAGATGGAGTGGATGAGTGAGCATTCACACATATTCCATGAGAAATCATCTAATCATGCAATCTTTGGTTGTGTGAATGAGAAGGACCCCGTAGGCTCTTATATTTGAACGCTTGGTCCCAGTTGGCAGAACTATTTGGGAAGGGTTAGGAGATGTGGCCTTGCTGGAGGAGGTGAAAAATACATTAGAATGAAGCTGATGTGGAATGTCCTTCTGTAGATGTGTTGCTTTTATTGGTTAATGAATGAAGCTATTTTGGCCTATGGCAGGGCAAAATATAGCTAGGCTAGAAGAGACATAGAGAAAGACTAGGCAGAGTCAAAGAGATGCCATGTAGCTGCCAAAGGAGAAAGATGCAGGAGCCTTACCTCAGTAAGCCACAGATTAATATAAAAGGGTTAATTTAAGATATAAGAGTTAATAAGAAGCATGGGCTAACAAACCAAACAGTGTTGTAATTAATATATTTAATGTGTGATTATTCAGGTCTGGGCAGCCGGGAAACAAAGAGCAGTCTCCATTTACATAAAGCTTTTTATTTGCAAGGTTTTTTTGTCGTTTGTTGTTTCGTTTTTGTTTCGCAAGACAGTGTTTCTCTGTGTAACAGTCCTGGCTTTGCAAGTTTTTAATTATAAAGTTGATAACATTTTTTAAGATTGAAAAAATGAGATGTATAATAACTTGTAAGAATACTTTATTGCTATGTTGCTCATGCAGTTCTGGGGTGGTCATCACATATAGTAGTACTACATTTATCTTGACTTCCTGGGCCTTGCATCTTCCTTTTCCATTTGGACCACAGTCTTCATGAAAGGCAGACAGAATATTCTGCTCTTTATTTAATTTTATTCCCGACAACAAACAATAGTCTCCTGGCAAGTTCCATAATAGATTTTATAGACAAACTTGAGTCCTGTTTTGGAAACCTGCAGTGTACCACACTGTGACTTCAGCATTTTATGTATATGGGTGTTTTGTCTGCATGTGGGTTTGCGTCATGTTCATGTAGCGCCTGCAGAAGCCAGAAGAGTGTGAGAGATTCCCTGAAGCTGGAGCTGAGATGGTTGCTAATTGCCATGTGGGTGCTGGAAACTGAACCTGGATCTTCTGGAAGAGCAGTCAGTGCTCTTGACTGTTGGGCCATTTCTCTAGGCCTTAAGGATTTGTTTTTATATCAATATACAAAAATTACATCATTATAACACCCATCATAAACCCCCAAAGACATAATCCCAGGTTTTTCTTTTTCCTTCATGAAAATTGCAGTTTGGTGCCTTTAGATTCCAGAATTTCCACATTCATAATTCTGATCTCTTAGGACTGTTTTCTTTGAGGGACTTGATTTTGGCAATGGACTTTCTCAGGTGCCTTTTTCCCTGTTTTCATTCAAAACCCTCTTTAGAGTTCTGGGAGACGTTGCTGATGCTGGTGATGCATTTGTCTGGGAATGTGTTTAGACAGTGCTTCTGGATCTGATTTGACCAAAGACTCAGGAAGTGGAGACAGGGAGGGTCGAGACGGTAGCTCTGTGATGCAGTCACGTGGGAAAGAGTCTGGGATGCCAAATCAGAGGTCTCACCATCTTACCTGGAACAGCAGGTCACATCTCAGTGGCAGGTTTGGGAAAGGGTGTGAACCAGGGGATGAGAAGATAGGCACAAGATACATCTTATGACGAACAAATTTGTTAAGAAGTATATCTTATATACCAAAATCAGCAGAGAGCTAAATCAAGCAGTGTTAGCTGACATTCGAACACAGGCTATCTCAGACACAGCTGTCTTAGGACTGATAACCACAGCCCTCCAGAAGGGGAAGCTGGATTCCCAGAAGACAGAACCCTAACTCTTTCAAAGCCCTGATTCCAGTCCCAATCTGGACTTTGCCTAGCCTGCCTCTAAGCAAGGACACAGAACTAATGTTCCCTTTGCCCTTGCCTCAGGGCCTCTGAGAAAGCCTTGGATCTGTCTGACTCCCAGAAACTAACCATCCATCATTCTACCAAACCTGAGGTGTCAATGACTTCCCAAGTCAATAGCTCATGAGGATTGGTTGAACACTAAAGATGCCTCTTGCTGCAGTAGGTGCAGTTGTCCCTTGTGTATCCCCAGGGGACCGGGTCCAGGATGTTTGTGAATGCCCAAACCCACAAGATAACCGAGCTCCTTGTGCTAAGTATTTTCACACAGCCTACACACGTCCTTCCACATCGTTAAGTATACAGACCACTCATTATACCTAATACAAGGCAAATGTCATGTAAATTGGTTATATGTTGTGTTATAATAATAATGAGAAGAAAGTTTACATGTGCTAAACCCAAGCGTAATACTTTTCTGAATATTTTCTACCTGTAGCTGACTGGTAGAGACTACCGCCTTAGAGTATAAACTTTATTCACTGGGCTATAAGGTCTAATTTTACATAAGTGCACTGCTGTATGAGATTCTCAGCCCTGTTATTGCCCCAGTTTAACTCCTGTCTGGGCTTCATAAGGATCTCTTCTTAAGCAGTTATGTGAAAAAATGTCTTCTATACTTGAAACACAGAGAAATACATTGCGTAGCTTTACTGGGTCCTAAGTTAAATTGAAATTTTATTTAAAGAGAATTAGGCTACTTTTGCAGGAAGATTTCCTTTTTAGAACAGTATAGGCACAGAAATCTTTCTAAATTTCCAATTGTAATATATCCCCGTGAATTCCTCTCATGAGTTATTATGTTATCGAACTAAACAAAAGGAAATTGAGGGGATTAAAGTCAAGGCTCCTCATGTCTTCTTCACTGAGTTCCTCAAAGCATCCAACCTGCCCTTCATCTTGGGACTCCATTTATAGTAACTTTCTGTCATGTTTATTACATACCCCACGTAGGCTCATAAACCAAACTGGCAAACTGGCAGTGTTGTTAACCTGCAGAGAGTTGCTGTAGGTGGGTAGATGAGATGTCCATGAACCCAGATGCTCTGCTGGAGGCACAGAGCCACAACATGAGGTAGGTTAGCTCCTGAGATGAGGTCAAAAGGACGACGGCAGGGACAGAGACATCAATTCAGCTGTGTCAAGTACTGGGGACTGCTGAGCAGAAACACCATGATGATAATGGACTCTGAAACTGTAAACCACCGCCTCACTTTTTATTAAAAAAAAAAGATGCCTTTTTTTTTTATATATATATAAGAGTTGCTGTGGTCATGGTGTCTTTTCACAGCAACAGAAACCCTAACTAAGACAGAAGTTGATACTGGAAGTGGGGTATTGCTGTGAGAGTGGTGACCTCAAGGCAAGATCCTACCCAGCTAACTTTCCAACCTGTGAAGAGGAATTAAAGAAAAGCTTAGAGCTGGGTGTGGTGATGCACACCTTTAATCCCAGCTCTGAGAACGCAAAGACTGGAAGAACTCTTGAGTTTGAGACCAGCGTGGTCTACAGAACGAGCTTCAGGACAGTCAAGCCTAGGCAGTGAAGG